CGGCCACAGGCCTCCCGCTGCGCGGCAAAGCTGTTCTCCGGGATTCGCTGAATCACTCTGTGAGTCCAGTCAGGCGGCCCCGGGGTCTAACGTCACCAGGACCCTAAGCACAAGACTCGGCCACGGCGACAGCGGAAGGGCACCCCGATGGTCCCCGTCTGGGTGTGGCCGCCGCCAGGCCTCCCTCCACAGGAGACCCTGCCCCCGCCCCACCCCGCCCCCCGAGACATCAAAGTTGCCGCCTTCTCAGGAATGCACCCTGAAGCCCGACGTTCACCTAGGACCATACACCACCCGGCAGCGCCCCACGAGAAGATTCTCGTGCGTGAGAAGCCCGGGAGCGAGCGACGGCCCACAGCAGTGCGGCAAGAACACGTGCTTGGCCAGGCGTCCCGCCAGCAGGGCAGAGTCATAAACACCTTGGTGCCCCCCCCGCGAGAAGGGACTCTCCTGTCCACTCCAGCTCAGTGACAAAAGCAGCAAGGGCACTGCTTTGAGCATAATACAGGAGGAACCCCTAGGACGTCTTCTCTGGCCTCCATGGACGAACGGGCCAGAACCCGTCACCTGTGCGCAGGTACCGATTAAGCACGTTCTGTGTGCCCGGCGTCGAGGAGGGAGCAGGTGGCACCAGGCAGACAGGGGGGTCGGGGCTGTGACGAGGGGCACAGACGCAGGGGAAGGTGCGCTCCCCGTGCCAGTCCTCAGTGACAGCAGCCGTGTCTCCGGAAGGCCAGTGAAGGGCCATCGGAGACATGGCGGACCCGGGCCACCGACTGTGCATGAGAGCAGCGGGGCCCTGGGAAGGCTTAAGCAGCATGGATGTGACCCAGGGCACCTGTCACCGGCCTCTCGGGGCACTCCGCAGAGAGCAGCTCGCAGGGCAGGAGACGCAGGGTGAGGCCCCCCCCACTCCAGGGGCAGTGACTCCCGGGTGCACTGGAGAGAAGGGGACAGGACATGGAGGCACAATTGTCGGGTTGTGCTGGCTGATTAGTCATGGGGGCACGAGGGGTTTATCTCCTGTGAGCCCAGGGAGGAGGGGCAGGGAGTGGGCGAGCCTGGCCTGGGCAGCACAGGAGCTCAGGAAGGAGCTCCCCAGGCCCCCCACCCCGCTCTCCCGCTTGGTGTTCTGAAAACTGGATGACAATGGCCCCACACCTCATGGGGCTGTCAGAGACACGGGGCAAGGGCCAGGCTGGTACACTCCGTCCGTGCCACCGTCACAGCCACCGTCGGTGAGCATCACCCTGTCAGCAGGTGAGAGAAGGAGGAGGGACAGACACAGAGACAACGACACCAGGACTCGGAATCAGGCCCTGGTTTAATCAGGTCCAGTATCTCTGGGAAGGAAGAGCATCCTGCCGGCCCCACAGGCAGCGGGTTGACGGCCTCTCTGGGTGGCTGGCCTGTTCGGCGTCATTGCCCTCCCTGCCACCCGTCATCGTGCTGCACGGTGACCCCTCCGTGCACTGCACATGGGAGGCACTTCCTACAAGAAGCTGGGACACACTTGCCAGAAGGGCCAGGTCACAGCCCGGCCGTGCCACCCCCGAGTCCAGAGGGTGGACGAGCCAGAGCCCAGAAGCAGAGCACTGGGCTGGCATCCTGGGTCCCCGCGCAGCCGGCAGCCATGGGCTCCCCTGCCCCAGCACACACTCACCAGCGGGACGGCTCTGTGCGGGGCCGTCCTGGGCGCTGTGCGGCGCTGGGCAGCACACCTGGCGTTCTCCCACCTGCCCCAAACATGCCCTCGGGGGGTACCTGGGTGGTGAACTGCACTGAATCTGGAGAATTCCAGATTTCGGCTCAGACCACGAGCAGGGTGGTGGGATCGAGCCCCGTGTCGGGCGCCACGCTCAGTGCAGGGTCTCCTTGGGATTCTCCCTCTCCCTCTGCCCCTCCATGCTCACGCTTTCTCTCTCTCTCTCTCTAAAATCAATAAATAAAATCTTAAAAAAAAATGTCCTCGGGTAGTGCCAAATGTCCCTGGGGGCAGAATCCCCCTGGTCAGAACCACTAGATACTGTTCCGTTCTGCACCTGAGTCACCCCACTAATAGACAGGGCCTGTTGCCGATGCGGGGACTCGGGTATACCAAATGTGGAATCGTCTAGAACAGCACAGCACACAGAAGGCTCAGGACCGTTAGCAGCAAGTTACCACTGGCCTGAGAGGCACAGAAATAAGGGAATCTCTACCCAACATGACAGCAGAGCCACTGACCCATAAACACGGCACCGAGGAAGTTGGGAAACCTTCCAAAACCTTCACAAGGCAGGGGATAGCTCATTGGGCGGCATCTGCGGGGCTCAGCAGGAACCCAGGAGAAGGCATGCACAACACGGTCCGCCATCCTGTCCTGCTCCTCGGGAGCGGGGCCAGGCTCCCCTGGGACGACGGTGCTCCCAGCCCTGGGGCTCTGAGCCCGGCATGGATTTAAGAAAAACGCAGGAGAACCGCCAGGGATATTCTGCCGACTCAAGAGCCTCGCCTGAGATTAACAGACACCCTCCTTCACGCAGCCCATCTCCTGTCCGATGGCGGCACACAGGAAGCCGGGGTCTTCCGGGGGCCTTGGGCCGAGTCCAGCTTCCCCGCCGCGGCAGGGGCTCGGCTTACCGGGGAGCAGGTAACAAAACCCTCGCGACGACAGGCCTGCCTTCAGCACCAGAAAATGAGCACAATTACCGCTCGCAAGAGAAGGAGGGCTTCAAAGGGAGACAGGGAGACCCCGAGGAAGGGGGACCGAGGAAAAGCAATCAGGCTGAGCCTGTCTTATCTCCGAGGGAAACACACGTGATGATTTTAGGGCCAGAGACACTCAAATGACTCCCCTGCCCCTCGTGGCATCTCAGCAGGTCTCCTGGCGATAACACACCGGGCCATTCGCGGTCATTATTTCTCCAGCAATGACTCCCGTGATGAAAACATCCCATCCACCCAGCGGCTCAAACCCTCTTAGGAGGGAATCAAGGGTCCACAAGTCCCCAGCAGCCTCGGTTTTCCCAGCCCAGACACAGCCCCAGGCTTACGTCCAGGACCTCTGGAACCCAGGCCTGCTGTGGCCCCCAAGGTGAAGTTGATCTCCGGGACCAACTCAGACCCCACACTAGGCCTCTGCCAACATGTGGAGGGTGCCTGAGGGGCTGTCCCCTTCCTGGTCCCCATCGCCACCTGTCTCGACCCCGAAGAGGGCCAGCTGCACAGACAACCATGGGTGGCCCACCCAGCTGGGCAGGGGCAACTCTGATGTGTGCACTGGGCAGGCGTACAGTAGGCACTCAATTAATACTTACGGAGCAAGGGAGTAACTGCACACCGGCTGCGTCCCCGGAGCACCCCAGCGTCTGGGGCCACAGCTTCTCCATCGGAAGCAGGAGTCACAGGAGGAAGCACTCTCCTGGTCGAGGCCACGTGCAGGGGAGGGGACAGGGGACAGCAGCTCACGGGGGGGGGCTGCTGCATCGCCAGCCGCTGGCATGCCCGTCAGCCACTGCATAAGAGGCCAAGAGGCCGGCTCACCACAGTGAACGGGGAAGGAGAGGCAGGCACCTGCCACCACCACGGGGCGAAGCTCCACGGAGCTCCCATGGCAACTCGGGGCAGGGAGGAGCCAGGGAGACGGGGAGCTCGGTCCTGGCCTCGCAGCACAACCAGAGCCCCAACTATGTCGGCAGGAAGTAGGGGGCCGGGGGTCTCCTTAGCCTTCCTTCCCCACTCACCACCACGCCCCGGCATAGCCAGGAGTTCAGGGCCACAACTCAGGGAGACAGTCGGGGAGACACCTCTGGGCCCCAGCGGGACAGACAGACGGACAGCCCGCCCCAGACGGGCGGGGGAGGGGAGGACACAGGGACGGCAATCAGGTGCCTTTCTAGCCGCACCACTGGATTGCGGCCAGTCAGGGGCTCAGACCCAGCAAGCCGGGGCGTGCACTCCCATCTCCCCCGGCCGCCAACACCCCTCTCCCTCCTCTTCCGATGCAGAGCAGCACGTGAACAGCCATCGTCTCACTCTGTGCCCCTCACCCCACTCTTCCTGCTTCATAAACAGCAGCCAATACCCTACATCCCTGTTCTAAGCCCGAGAACTGTGTCCCGTCCCACACGAGCGGACGACCACGTCTCGGCTGTGGATACCGAACAGCACAGCCGAAGCCACGGTCTGCACAGGAATCACAGCGCCCACGCCGGCACGCTTGAGGTCCCACGGGATCCCAGACAGCTTTCCCAAATGCCAGGCTGCTCACCGCAGGGCCCTGGAAATGTCTCTCTCAAACGGGCCAAAATCTTACATGACCCGCGATGGAAGGCCAAGGCAAGGTCGTGCATTTCTGTACTGCTCTGCCTCTGTGTTTCCAAAAATAATCGTCAGCTGCCTCTGGAGCAGAGGCAGGTGCATCCTTGCGCCTGGCCAGGACGTCTCCAGGCAGGAGCCCCTTCAAGGCGAAGATGAGTCATCTCCACGGGGACAAGGTGTGAATGACGAACCCCGTCTCTCCAGACCCAAAGGATTCCCGGCTCCCCCGGGGATAGTACGCACTAGGACCAATTAACCTGAAAGCCGGAATCAAGCCCTTCCTGTCTGAAGCCACTTAGAGCAGCGTATGCCACGTCACGTGTGCGGGTTTTAGGTGGCCCTCACTCTGTCATCTTCCTCACCAAGAGGGTGACTCCGGGGGCGCCTGGGGGGCTCAGTCCATTAAGCGTCTGCCTTCGGCTCAGGCCGTGCTCTCAGGATCCTGGGATCGAACTCCCCATCGGGCTCCCTGCTCAGCGGGACGCCTGCCTTTCCTTCTACCTCCCCGTGCTCGTGCTCTCTCTTTCTGACAAATAAATAAAATCTTAATATTAAAAAAAAAAAAAAGGGTGAGTCCAATCACGCGGGGTCCACGGCTACCTCGGGGCATTTGGCAGGAAACCCGCCACCCGCCTGCATGCCACGAAGGAGATGCCACCCCCTGCATCACGGCCTGCCCCCCCCGGGAGCCTGCGTACCTGTGAAGTCCTCCAGACACTCGCAGGTGTAGCCGCCCTCGCGGCTGTGGCAGCGGCCGTGGGTGCCGCAGGGGCTGGAGTAGCAGAGGTCGATCTCCGTCTCGCAGTAGTCGCCCGTGAAGCCGGGTGGGCAGCGGCAGCGCAGCCCGGTGATGGGGTGGATGGGCCGGAAGAGCACGGTGGTGGAGCTGATGAAGGGCGCCGAGCTGTCGAACTTGAGCACCGACACGCACTTCATGTAGTTCTCGCAGGGCTCGCGCAGGCAGATGTTGTCGTCGAAGGGCAGCACGCGCTGGGCGGACACGGCCGTCAGCAGCGTCCGATTCAGGTAGATCTGCTCCTGCAGGTCCTCCGACGGGAAGAACTTGTCGCGGACACCACCGGGGAGCAAGGCCGAGAAGGTCACGTTCAGGATGTTGGCGCTGACATCCGTGTCGTTCTGGATGTTGAAGACGAAGACGTCCTCCTTGGTGGTGGACAGCACCGTGGCCACGCCCTCCACGAACAGGGACAGCAGTGGGGAGAGGAACTTCTCCTGCGACATGTTCTCCAGACGGACGGTGATGCTGTTGGTCAGCATGTCGTCCGTGATGATGGTGACCCGTAGGGTGCAGAGCGCGGCCACACTGTGGACGCCATCTGTGGACACAGGGGATCGGGGTCACTCGGGGTCCTAAGCCCCTCCAGTCCCACCTGGAAACAGCCTCAGATGCACTCAGTGTGGCAGAGGCGAGCCCAAGCCTCCCCAAGCCCCACGTCCTGCCCCACCAGTGACCTCCCCCTTGACCACTGCTTTCCAGCCCCCGTTCTCCCTCCACACCTGACTTCCCAAAGCACAGCTCCCATTGAGTCTGTCTTGCTCAAAGGAACCCCATGGGCCCCCCAACCACTCAGCAGGACATCCCAGGACCACCCACAACCCAGCCCCGTGCCGCCCGAGCCCCCCACCTCATACGCTTTGCTCCAGACCCATGGGGACACTGAGCCCCATCTGCTACCTCTGTAGCTGTTCCAGACACTAGAAGAAAGACCCCACTCTGATCCCACCCAGCCCCACCCAGCTCTGACCCCACAGTGTCCAGGAGGGCGCCATCCAGGTAGACCCTGGTCTGCACCACACTGACGGCATGTCTTCCCTTGGCTCTACTCTATGCTTCCCTATGAGCCCCGCACGGAGGAGACGCTCAGCGAATGCTGCTTTAGAAAGACACACACGAGAAGAGGTGCGCCCGCGCGGACAGAGGTAAGCGAACCCCGCATCGAGGTAGGTAGGGCTGTGAGGCTGGAAAGGGCGCGACATCTGGTTTGCGCTGTGGAGCACAGCATCGGTTCTGAGCCCAGCCTCAGGGGAGCTGTCCGAGGGCCGGCCGCGGGGGCTCTCCCAGCGTAGCTCTAGGCTGGTACCATTAGCCTCCCCAGCACCCGGACAGGTGCAGCCACCACGCCCAGGGGGCCTTCACCTGCCTCCCAGGCCTCACCCCCAATGTGCTACAGGTCCCTGAGAAAAACCTGGCAAGTTCTGGCTGGGCTTGGTTTCTCCGTCCCTGCAGCTTTGCCCAATCCTCCCATCTACTCCCACAATGTGCTCCCAGCCGGTGCCCCTCATGAGTGCACACCCAGCTCCATGGGGCACAGAGCCATCTGTGTAGGCCAGTGAGCCCTGGGGGGGACCCCCTCCTACCCTCTCGTAACTCGCAGCCTTGGGGTGCTTCCCCAGAGCACAGGAGCCACGCAGGGACCCTTCCCCACTTGTTTCTGGAAAACCAGGATGACTGAGAAGGCAAGTCACACGGCAAAACCCGGGGGCCACCTTGTCCCTATGGCCCTAGCACAGTCCCCACAAAGCCCCAAATCATTTGGGACAGACGCACCGAAGCTTGTGGACACTGGGAATGTTTCTCTCAGCCACTGGAGCACCACACGCCCCTTCGGGAGGGACCTGAGTCACCAAACTTGTCCCAACAACAAGAAAAACATAAGTGCCCCAGAGTCGCAGTATTTCCGGGTACCCCGTCTGATGGCCACGGCAGACCCGGGATCCTCAGATGCGGAGACAACCGGCATCCCCCACGTCACAGCTGGAGGGGGCCCAGCTTCCGCTCCACTGACAGCAGCCCGGCTCGGGAGCATGGGCACAGGGCGCTCTGCTGCTGGTCCAGCTCGTCCTCATGAAAACCCAACAGGGCCGAATTTAGAAAGTGGAAGTGGGCCCGGTGTCACCTCGGTGTGGAGAGCCCTCAAGGGAAGGGCACACTCTGCCTACAACCTCTTTAGAGCCGCAACAGAGCGGAGTTGGCAGCTCACATTCAAAGGGCCTGGGGCCGTCACAGTCAGGAGAAGTAAATTAAGGCAAGAAGAAGTGGCAAAGCATGTTGTGGCACGGCGCCGTCCTTTCCTTCCCTCCCCCACACAGGCCATTCCCCTCCCTGGAATGTGGGCTGACCTGGAGCTGCCTCGGTTTCCTCCCACCATGGTCCTCACGCAGGCATCCCAAAATGCCCACCTCATCCCGCCAGGCCCCTGGGGCCACCAGTGGCTTCCAGAATAAAACCCACACTTCGTACTGCATCTGGGAGTCCTATGTGATCTCCCTGCCTCAGGGCCTTTTTTTTTTTTTTAAGATTTATTTATTTATTTATTTGACAGACATCACAAGTAGGCAGAGAGGCAGTCAGGGAGAGTGGGGAAGCAGGCTCCCTGCTGAGCAAAGAGCCCGATGTGGGGCTCGATCCCAGGATCATGACCTGAGCCGAAGGCAGAGACTTTAACCCACTGAGCCACCCAGGTGCCCCTCACTGCCCCAGGGCTTTTGCACACCTTATCTTCTGCCCAGCGTGCCGACCTCCTTGTCGGCTGGTGGGTACTCCCTCGGTCATCTGGGTCCCATCAAGGGGCCCTCCATGTTCCCCCATCCACACTCTGCCACATCCCCACTTTCCTGCTCAGGAGGGGCACGACCTGACTGTGTTTATGTGTCTCCCCCATGAGCCCATCAGGACTGAGAACCTTCAGGTCTCATTCCTGCTGTACCAGCTGCTGGCACTCAGAAGTGGCCAGATAAACATTCATGGGAGGGGGCAGCAAGGAGGGAGGGGGCAGGGAAGAACGAGGGTTTCCACTGGCATCTCTTTAACCCCAAGACGGACATCACACACACAGCGTCTGGGTCTCAGTTTGCCACGTAAGCTAATTTTTTGGTGATGTCTGTCTTTCTTTCCTTCTTCCCACGGCCCATGATAATAATACAGGATACAGGGTAATGTCTGCCTGCTTCCCGATGCCAGCTGTTATGAAACACCCTTGTCATCTTCAACCACCGTCCCGCAGGCTGCTGGGAGGGCACCGCACGGAGGAACGCCCGGGAGCAGGGAGCCATGTTCCAGGGACAGACCGCTCCCCTCGGGGACAAAGCACCAACACATTAACTCAGGTCGGACGCGCGAGAAAACAGAACACCCCTCTTGCTAGGACTCTGACCGCCAACCTCCTTCAGACCCGCGATCATTCTGGACACCCCAAGTCCTGGGGAGATGATGGCTTCGCTTTGAACCTGCGTCACTCGGGCGGATCTCTGGGCCTCCACAGGCACACGCCCGACTGCCCATTCTCGGGGGCCACGGAAACACCGCGGCTGTCCCCAACATGGGGCGCTGTGTGTCCCCACCACGGCGGTGACAGCGAGGCAAATCTGATGACGTGATGCTAGGGGAAGAGTGAGCTGCTTCTTCCCACAGACAAGAAAATGCATTTGTACGAGCCCTCGAGCTATCGGCAAGTAAGCGAACACCTGCTAGGGTGACGGGTCCTGCTCACGTCCCTGCATTTGTTTTTGATACGCGTTTATTTGAGAACAGTGTCAGTTTTACAGAAGTATCGCGAGACAGTACGGAGCTCCTACATACTCAGCACCGTGTTCCCCCTACTATGGACAGAATCACGTTAGTTCCCTAGTTTTCCCTGATGCCCTCGTCCTGGTTCAGGACCCCTTTGAGGACCCCACACAAAAGCCGTCACATCCTCTTAGCTCTGCCCTGCCGGGACAGCTTCCCAGATGGCCCTTGCTTTGATGACCTTGACCGGCCCTTGCTTTGATGACCTTGACAGTTCGGAGGAGTGCTGTCACTTTGCTGCTATTTAGGTGACTTTTACTTTCCCCTCTAGACCTTCCTGCACCATTTTATTTCATGCAGCGTTTATCCCTGAAGAGCCCATTTTCATTCTAGAAGACGCGGAGCTTGCCTGAGGCTCTGCCCACAAGCAAGAGCCACAAACCAGCTTGGAGGTGCCCCCAAATCAGGCCAGTGCGATTTCCACTGCTTTCTTTAGCAAGGTGAGTCACCTCGTTGTCCCCAGGTCATAGGAGGAGAGAGACAGAACAGTCCCGCCACGGTGGCAGGACGTCCACCAGCAGGGGCTTCCCGCAAAGCCACAGATAATGTGAGTGAAGGTTTGCTCCGTGGGTCTTCACAGAGGCCATCCCACGACCTTGTCCCTGGTGGGGGGCCCACCCCTGGGACACTGCAGGGAGAGGTCCCACTGCGGCCTCCAAGGAGCCGGAGGCCTGCAGGGGACAGAGCCACGTTGGTAAGGCATGGTGCCAATGCGACCCCAGAAGGCGGCGGGAAGGTGGGTGTCCTGGAGGGATGGCGGTCATCACTCAGTTGGAGAGGAAACACCTTCTCAGCACAAAAAACAAAAAAGAGGGCACCTGGGCAGCTCAGTCAGTTAAGCATCTGTCTTCAGCTTGGTTCATGATCCTCGGGTCCTGGGATCAAGTCCCACACCAGCCTCCGTGCTCAGCGAGGAGTCTGCTTCTCCCTCTCCCTCTGGCTCCTCCCCCTCATGTGTGCTCACTCTCTCTCTCTCTCTCTAAATAAATAAATATAGTCTTTTTTAAAAAAAGGCAGCAAAACAGAGGCAAGGCCTGGCCCATCATGGGCAAGAGGGCGTGTCAGTGTCCTGGGGCTGCCGTAAAAAGCACACAGACTGGGCGGCTTAGCTAGCATTCATCCTCTTGGTCTGGAGGCCAGAAGTCTGAGATCAGGCGTTCCAGGGTGGTTCCACCTGGAGCTCTGACGGAGAGTCTGTCCCACGGCTCTCTCCCAGGGGCAGGCGGCTGCTGGCAACCCTTGGCTTGCGGGTACCTCTCTCCGGTCTCTGCCTGGCCATCTGGGGGCCTCCTCCCCATGTGTGTCTGTGTCCAAATTCCCCTCTCAAAAGGACACAGTCGTCGGGTCGGGGCCCACTCCAATGCAGGATGAGCTCATCCCAAAGCTTTACCGTGATCACATCTGCACAGACCCTGTCTCCAAATAACCAGGCATTCAGAGGTTCCAGGTGAACGTGAAATTGAGGGCCTGCTAGTCCACCTGGGACAGATGGAAATGTAGGGTGTGGGGGGAGGCAAGGGTCCGGAGGCACATGGGTCAAGGCCACTGGCCCCTGAGCTCACGGTGGGGGACAGATCCAGATCCTCACGATGTGGCCCAAGCACAGGCTCCAGGCCAACGTCCTCCCCGGCACCATCCCTTCCACCTTTGTCACGGCCTGTGAGGGACACCCCTGCTGGCCCTCCACAGATGAGGACCCTGAGGGACAGAGGGGTTGACCGACAAGCCCAGCTGAGGCCACTCAGCAGC